TGGTGGGTGGAAAGATAGGATTATGTCTTTTTAAATTTATATGGTGGGTGGGAAGATAAGGTGGGTGGGGAAATAGGACAAGGGGGTGGAAATAGTAGCACTCTAAATCAAACAATCTGACTATAAAAGGATTTGGGCTAAGGCAATACAGTCGAAATCAAATATTGGGTTGGGCTCGGGGCGGGTCTGGTTGCACCCATCCAATTTGCATTCCTATACTACAATTAGTAAAACATGAAGAAAAAGCCAAGCACAAATAAACAGACCATCGTGAAGCTCATGAGACTACGGAATGAAAAGCCAGACCAGAGACATGCAAAGTTCATGCCTCTTGAGTCTTAACGCACATTCTATGCAGCATGAAAATAACATCCACACAGCCTATATATATAAATAAAACCATGCATCTGTCTCCATTGCCTTCTCTTCAGTCATTTCATCACTTTCATCTCTGTACTCTCTCTCTCTCTCTCTCTCTCTCTCTCTCTCTCAAAACAAAACAAAAAAAGAAGAAGAAAAAAATGTCTGGGAAGGAACTTGGCCAAGAGCTCAAGGAACTCGTCAGCTCCTTGCAAGACCAAGTCCTCTAATCTTTTTACTTTTGGAGTTTTTTATTATTATTTTCTTTTCTTTGTTCAGTTTATTGCTTTGCTTTCTCATCTCTAATTCTTGTTTTTGAAGTTTTATTTATTTATCTTAATTTATTTTCTTTTTATTTTTGTTTAATTGACTGAAAATGGTGATTTGTTAATCAATAGCTGATTTTATTGATGAAATTTCAGATAATGTATGTCAAGTGTAATTATATAATTCTCTGTTTTTTTTACCTTGATCAAAGGGTTACCATTTAATGTCAATATTTTATATTTTAATAATATATAACAAAAAGATGATCAAGTTAAATTAATATTGCAGTTAATTAACTACGTACGTTTCCTGGCAGGGAATTTTGGACGAGCATTTTGATCAAATGAAAGCAGTTCAGAATGAACAAAATCCTTGCTTTGTTGCGAATTTGATCACCACGTTCCTTGGTGATGCTGAAAATGTCATAGGACAACTCGGAACATATCTGTAATTTTCTTCACTGTTTTCATTTACTATTTCGTTTTTAGATATACATTATTTATATTATACATATACATATTAATTTTGGAAAATTCAATTTTAGGAGTGCTCAGGATGTCAACTATCCCGAGGTGGCAACTCTTGCCCTCAAGCTCAAGGGAAGTAGCTCAAGGTATAATAAATTGAATGCCACACTTTTTTTATAAAATTTTAAATATTAAACCTCCTTGTTATTTTAGATTTTGTTGCTAAATGAAAATTCAAACAAATTTTGCACAAAAAAGGCATGAACAAAATTGTAAATTTAACAGAATGTTGTGACCTAAAATAAAGTAGTCGGATTTGAAATAGCTAAAGATAAACTAAAATGTCAACTAATTTTTTGCCCAAGAAATAGTGACAACCGTATTAACATTGAGTTGAGTTAAACTAAATGTTTTTGTTTTCTTCTTGTTAACCGTATTTTAACTAAATGAAAAAGTGACACGTGTGAGGATGTGAAGAATTATTACACATTGAAAAATTAAACAAACCTGCAAGGGTTTACTCCCCCCTCTCCCCCATAAAAAAAGAAGTAACAAATTAATTTTTTCACACCTACTATATACATAAAGACTAACCATGGTTTTAAGTTTTTAATGTTGAATGATATATGTATAGAAAATAAGCCCAAATTATTCTTTCTTGTACATCCTTTTGTCACACTAAAGAATTTAATTACATTGATCCTCTCTGCTGAATTTGGACTTACAGTGTTGGTGGTTGCCGGATGGCGTTAGCCTGTAGCGAGCTCCGAGATGTAAGCGATGTAAATGACCATGAAGGGTAAGAATTGGATACT